AATCATTACACAGTTAATAAAATTGATTAGTTCACTGCAACATCTAAAATGGTTTAAACTAACTAGTGAACTTAATCTGAGGTCAAGACTAAGCCTAAGGTCAAAACTCTTGACCTTAAGAACCTTGTGGGACAGGAACTGTCATTTTGTTGATTTGAAACCAGAAATACAGGTTCACCCATCCTGAGACTTTCTTTCTTGAAAATTCAAGTGAAAGAACACTCTTTTTTTATTATCATTACTATTTTACAAATGTTGATAATCAAAGTGTCTTAGTTCAAACCATTTTAGATGTTGCAGTGAACTAATCAATTTTATTAACTGTGTAATGATTTTTAATTCTCATGCAAAGTTAGAACTCATGTTAAAGCTGTTACAGAGTAATTATGCATTTTCTGATTTCTGTCTGTGAATGAGCAAAGTGTGCGTTCCAGGGTCAGGAGTCGAAGCAGACATGCGTTGGAACAACTGTCCTGTTTATATCCTCTCAGACGTCAACAGGGGGGTTTTGGCACCTGTTTCTTAAACTCGCCAAAACAAAACTCTCTCTGTCTGTGAGAACATTTCTGATCTGTTCCATAACAATTCTTGCTGCCTTCTAACCTTTTACGTCACAAAACACACCCCGTCTGGTCGGTTCTGGCCAATGGGGAGACTCCCGAATGAACCGGGAAAAGAGCTCTTTAAAATGTCGGTACTTCCTGGTCTACTCAGTTCTGTCAGATCTGTGAGGGCTGTGAGAGTTCAGTTCTGTGGGAGTTGGGTCTCTGTTCAGTTCTGTGAGCCGGGAAGATCCTGACATGACAACAGAGCTCTTCCGAGTTTCATGGGATTATAACATCTTCACTGAGGTGAGCTGTGGCGGACAGAATCTCGCCGCTACTCCGGACGAGTAACAGCATCCTACGGAGACGCTGAAAGGGTGCGTTAAACGGAATCTCGCCTGAGACATCTCCAGGTAAAAGAGTCGATTTCACCACCTAAGTGTACTGTAAGGAAGAAGCTGAAGAAAGCCCGGAGAGTGCCGTTCTGTTCAACACTCCCTCAAACCCCATCTTTTACTCTTCTTTAAACTTCTTTCCCATCTTTAAACTCCTCTCTCAAGTAGAAATTCTTCCAGATATTTAGAAATGTCTGTGTAAAGTGCTCATCCACCGCCGTGTGGGTAAAAGATCATAATTGTACAGTTTTCATAAATGTCTGTGGTGAAGCAACGGAAAAATCATGGCCGTATGATTTTTCCTGATTGATTGCTTATGTTGTTATTTTCATAATTTGCCAAATTAATGTAAATGTTTGATGTTAAACTTTGATTCTGTAAATAAATGACCGCATTCATTTTGATGGGTCAAAGATAAATGACGTCTCACGTTTGCATTTCATTAAATTCAATGCACGTTTTATTCAGTCCAGAAAAATGAGGAATCCGTGTTAATTGATGAATATATCTGAGCATCTGTTCATCTACACTTGACCACTTATGAACCTCTGAAAAGAGATCCAGGAAGTGGTTACAAGAAGAAGTTGATAGATTGCCTGAAAGTTTTGGAGCAAGACAAGGCTATTGACCGTATTCTGTATCACAGACTGTACTCAGGGAAGGCCACACCTAGTCTGTATGGTTTACCTAAAATTCACAAACAATGTGTACCTTTTAGACCAATTGTTAGCATGATTAACTCTGTCACTTACAATGTTTCCAAATATCTGGCATCTGTACTCATCCCTTTAGTTGGCAGCTCAGAACACCACATACAGAACACCATGGACTTTGTGGATAAGGTGAGGGATGTCATCATGGAGATTGATGAAACAATGGTCTCTTTTGATGTCACATCACTCTTTACATGTATTCCTGTTGGTGATGCAGTAGAGGTGGTCAGTTTAAGTTTAAAATCAGACACCACTCTGAGCAGCAGGACCACACTTTCCACAGAACAACTGTCAACTCTTGAAACTGCCTGCAGTCAACCTACTTCACATATGGGGAGCAATATTTTAGGCAGAAACATGGGTGTGCTATGGGGTCTCCAGTTTCTCCTATTGTTGCCAACCTGTACATGGAGGAGGTAGAAAAGAGAGCCTTGACGTCGTTTTCAGGGACACCACCAAGTCATTGGTTCAGGTATATTGACGACACCTGGGTTAAAATTAAATCGCAGGAAGTCCAACATTTTACTGACCGCATCAACTCTGTGGATAAATACATCAAGTTCACACGAGAAGATGTAAAAAATATCAGGTTTGCTTTCTTGGACTGTGAGGTCTCAGTCTCTGATAGAGGATATTTGCAAACTGAGGTGTACCGCAAACCCACCCACACAGACCAGTATTTGCAGTTTGACTCCCATCACCCTTTGGAGCACAAGTTAGGAGTCATCAAGACTCTGTACCACAGAGCAGACAGCGTCCCCACTAGCTCAGGAGCCAGGCAGAAGGAGAAATCCCACACAAGACAGGCTCTAGAGCAATGTGGATATCCTAACTGGGCCTTCCTGAAAGCAGAGAAGAAACCCAAACAGGACTCCAGTCAGCCATCAGGTGAAAATGAGGAACCCAGACCAGTGGTCATTCCATATGTTGAGGGAGTATCAGAGAAACTGAAGTTTTTTTTCTAAGCACAACGTCCCAGTGGCTTTTAAACCCCAAAATACATTACGACAAATCATCCCAAAGATCCAATCCCCCGGCACAAACAGAGTAATGTTGTGTATGCTGTTCAGTGTCAGGAGGGCTGTGATCAGTCTTACATAGGGGAAACTAAATGGCCACTGGACAAAAGGATGGCCCAGCACAGAAGAGCAACAACATCAGGCCAGGACTCTGCGGTCTACACTCATCTCCAGGCCAGCGGTCACTCTTTCAGGGATGAAGATGTTCACATCCTGGATAGAGAGAAACGATGGTTTGAGAGAGGAGTAAAGGAGGCCATCTTTGTGAAAAGAAATCATCCATCATTAAACAGGGGTGGAGGCCTACGTGTTCAATTGTCCCCCTCTTACAATGCTGTGATTGCTAGTATCTCTCAGCCCTCTGTGAAAAGTAAACAGCCATCAGTGTGTTAATGATCCATTGTTAGGCCGATGGTCCTTCTTAATCATGTGAGCAGCTGGTTTTGGTTGTCAGCAGCAAAACTGGTTGATCCACTCTGAGAAGGTGCTATTTATAAGAGTGAGCTGAATACAGCTCCTCAGACAGAGGAAGTCTTTCGGATGAAAGACGAAACGTTTCTAAATTTTATTTGTTGTTTTGCTTTGTTTTGTTTTTTTGAATGTCCAGAGGACCAGATTTATTAACTTTATTAGATTTAGTTTAAAACATTACTCTAATGTGAAGATTATTAGATGTGTTCATAATATTTAAGCAGATCTTCGTAAAACTAGCTTAACTTTGTTTCAGTGAACTGTTGAAGCACCATTACATTTATCCTCGTGAAACATGTGTAGCTACTTTTACCAAGCCTTAAAAAAACAATAATTCCTTTGGGAGTTGGACCTTTTTATAGCTATTATTAATCGGTCATGAACAATTTAAATTGGCCTTTTTGAAAGAAATTAAATAAATAAAAACATTAATTAAAAAGAATTGTAAATTAAATTTTTACTGAATAATCCATCCATCATCATCCATCCATCTTCATCCATCCATCACTTCCTCTTGTTCTCAAGTCAGGTCTCGGGGGCAGCATCTTGAGCAAGGAGGTCCAGACATCTCTTTCCACAGCCTTCTCTTCCAGCTCTTCTGGGAGGACTCCAAGGTGTTCCCAGGCCAACTGAGAGACATAGACTCTACATTATGCTATGTCTCTCAGTTGTCCGGGGTCTCCTCCCAGTCGGCCATGCCCGAAGCACTTCCTTAGGGAGGCACCCAGGAAGCATCCTTACCAGATGAACCACCTCAACTGGCTCCTCTCGATGTAGAGGAGCAGTGGTTCTACTCCGAGTCTCTCCTGATAACTGAACTTCTCACCCTGTCTCTAAGGGAAAGTCCAGTTACCCTGCAGAGGAAACTCATTTCACTCTCCTGTATCCACTATCTCATTCTTTCAGTCGCTACCCAGAACTCGTGACCATAGGTGAGGGTAGGAATATAGACCAACAGTACACAGAGAACTTTACCTTACAGCTCAGCTCCCTCTTCACCACAATGGACTGGCACAGAGTCTGTAATACTGCAGATGCTGCACCAATCAGTCTGTCTATCTCACACTCCATTCTTCCCTCACTCGTGAACAAAACCCAGAGACACTTGAACTCCTCAGCTTGAGGCAGAACCTCACCCTTGACCTGAAGAGAGAAATCCACCTTTTTCCTACTGGGGACCATGGCCTCAGATTTGGAGGTGTCAGCAGCTTCTCATCCCACCTGCGTCACACTCGGCTGTGAACCGCTGAAGTGAGAGCTGAAGATCATGGCACTATGTCAGCAGGACCACATCATCTGCAAAGAGAAGAGATGGAATCCTGAGGCCACCGAACAGGACTCCCTCCTCCCCCTGGCTGCACCGAGAACTTCTGTCCATAAAAGTTATTAAAAGAATCTGTGAGAATGGGCAGCCGTGTTGGGAGTCCAACTCCCACCCAGAAGGGGTCCGACTTTTACCAAGTAATTTTAATTAAATTAAAGGACTGTAACTTCCTGTGAAATTGCAGCGTGAGAGCTTACCGCTAAATGATTTTAGCTGAAAACTGCAGAAGAAGCTAAAACCAGATGAAAAGGGTTCATTTCTAAACTGTTACTGGGAGTTGAATTTGAACTTTACTGAAAGCAGGTAAATAAAAGCTGAAACAGCAGAAATGTAGCTGAAATGAGCAGAGGCTGAATAAATCACAAAGGTGGAACCAGTTCTTGAAGACCATGGCTGATTCTAACAGAAAACAAAACATCCAAGGATGTGAATGTTTTTATAGGCTCTGTGTCAGGGAGCAAAAGTAAAAAAGATAACGTTAATTACTTTTGGTGTAAAATTCAGTGTTGACACGCTTTTTTTCTTTCTTTCAGGTATTGCCTTGAATCCTGAACAGTGGAACCAACTGAAAGAGCAAATTTCAGAAATTGATGATGCAATTAAAAGAACATAATCATTCCTTGTCATGTGACCTGCTGAACTAATTGGACATGTTTGTTGAGCAGTTGTACTTTTTTTTATTAGATTTAAATTGCTTTAATGTAGTTGTCTGTATACATTTTGTCCACGACTGAAACTTCATCTTGAGACGTTTTAGTGAAGCTGGCCACCTTGGTGACAACTGTAGTCCAGCGTAGTGACGTTTTTGTATTGAATAATAAAGTACTGCACTAGTTTATTGGTTTTCTTCTGTAAATATTCTTGTTTGTGGTTTTGATGCTGTACATGATTTACATGAATGAACACATTCTTTCATTTGTGGGAGTTAGATATTTAAATCTAGTTTTAAATCTCTACAAAGTCACTACATCAGAACCTTAACACTTGTAAGTCTTTGTAAAATTAAACATCCACATACTCCACCATTTGTGCAGGATTTGACAGAAGGATGTTTTGGTCTGAGTTTGACAGAGTTTCTGTGATTTTCATTCATAGAAAGTGGAACATAATCAGATTTTCACACAATTCCTACCAGTAGATAAAGAGAACCCATTTAAACAAATGATACTAAATATTATACTTGGTAATTTATTTATTGAGGAAAATGACCCAATATTACATATTGTGAGTGGTAAAAGTATGTGAACTTTTGCTTTCAGTACCTGGCATGCGGCAATACCTACAACTAAACGTTTCCAGTAACAGTTGATCAAGCCTGTTCACCAGCTTGGAGGAACTTTAGCCCACTCCTCTGCACAGAACAGCTTCAGCTCTGGATGTTGGTGGTTTCCTAACATTAACTGCACTAATTCAGCTCAGAGAAGATGGTTCAAAACTACAAATCAGGATGGAACAAAAAAGATTCCCAAGGTCCTGAACATCTCAAGTTCTGTTAAATCTGTCATTGAACAATGGAAGGAGAATGTGTAAATCTACTAAGAGCAGGTCGTCCTCTCAAACTGACCATGAAGACAGAACTGCGAGAGCACAATATCTAAGACCACTTGGAAGGATTCACATGCAATTAGTTTCTCCACTAAGAAGATGGCACAAGAAAAATCATGACTGGTGGATTTTTTTAACAAACTTTATAAATAAACCCCAATAAACACAAGATCGGTCTTTATACAAGTTTTTTATTTATTTTTTTATTGAAAGGCAGAAAAGTATGAATTCAAGACTAAGCTTGTTAGGCAAAAGAGCACAGATATGAAGTCCCATTCATCCTTTATAGAATAGAAACAGCCTTTATTGTCCCACGGATGGGAAATTCAAGTGTAACAGCAGCAACAGATAAAAAGATAAAGATTTAACACAAAAGTTCCTAAATGTTAATAAACAATACAATATATACAGAAATATGATAAACAATATCAATAATGTGTAATGAGACAGCCAAGAGATGGATTTAGCTCAGGGGTGCTCTCTTACATTTTATAATATCTGAACTAGTTCAAGTACATGATATTATACTTAATTTAAACGGATTCTTTCATTTTTCTGGACTAAGTGATATTGTGCTTAGAAGTACTGTGTTGGAGATAGTCTATTCAGTGACATGAGATGTTAATTTTCTTTGACCCATCAAAATGAATGTGGTCATTTATTAACAGAATCAAAATTTAACATCAAAACATTGTACACTTGATTATTCTGACTGAATGCAATAACACAGCTTAATTAATGAGCTTTACAATGAGAAATCATACGGCCATGATTTCTCACTTGCAACTAAAATACAACAGACATATCTTTAGATCTTAAATTAATGTCTGCAGGCTTAGCTTATCTTTTTACTGGCGAGATAGAAGAGATGGAGTAAAGTTTAACGAGGGAAAGTGGATACTTAGGGTTAACTAAGATAATAAAGAAAAGATGGGGAGTTATCTTGTTTGAAACCAGATCGCACGTTTCCCAGTGATTTCGGCTAGATGTACCCGAGCGTCGACTCTTTACCTTGGTGGGGTTTCAGAGAGGTCTTCTCCTGGCGTCCAGCAAGGCTGAGTCTTTTTACCTCCAGGGATTTATCCGCGTCTCATCAACTTGGGATGACGAGGCTGACTGGCCCAGCTTCCAAAATAAACTTCCCCGAAAGATAGGATTAAGTTAAGTGGAATTTCAGCAAACGTGCTGAACTCCTGAGATGTTGAATAGGTCTTTGGCGTAATGACCAGAATCAACACTCCAGACAGGTGTCATCTTTCAGAAAATGACCACCGTGGACTTCACCCTTGCAAAGTCGCACTGTCTTCCTTCTCAGCAGAACTCTCTGTTCTCCATGGAACTTCTGTTCTCCTTCGGAACTTCGGTTCATGTCTCCCAGAACTAACTGGAACTAGGAAATGTCGACTTTTAAAGAGTTCTGTTTCCGGTCCCTTTTAGGAAGTCCTGATTGGTTGAAAGAACCAACAGGGGTGTGGTTTTAGTGACGTCAGAGGGTTACTACAAGTCAGCAAAACAGTGAGATGTTTGGGAACAGACTAGAGAAATGTTTTGGAGAAATGACAGACTACAGGTGCCAGTAGCTTCTTATTTCTGTCTGAGAGGTTTAAAAACATGACAGTTCGTTCCAATAACTTCTTTCTGACTTTCGACCGACATCACTACTTCTCATTTCAGACAGAAGATCAAAAAATGCATAATTACTTTGTAACAGACATTAACTTGATTTCTACTTTGAATGAGGATTAAAAAATCATTAATACTGTTTCACAGTTGATTTAAAATGAGTGGTTCATTTTAACATTTAAAAATGATTTGAACTAACACACTTTTGATTATCAAGACATTTGTAAAAATAGTAATGGTAATATAAAAAGAGAGTGTTCTTTCAATTGATTGGTTCAGGATACAATTAGAAAGTCTCTGGATGAGCTAATTTGTATTTCTGGATTCAAATCAATGAAATAACAGTTCTTGTCCCATTAAGGTCTTCAGGGTCAGGTTTTGACCGGAGGCTTAGTTCACTACAAATGTTCAATATGTATTGGAACATTGATAAGGACAGACTATTTACAATGCAGTATTATAGGCAGAGTGTGTGTTTTAGCAGAGGTCAACATGTATTTAATCCTTGAGTTTATTGGGAGCAGTGATGGTTGTAGAGTCTAACAGCTGCTGGGAGGAAGGACCTGCGGTAACGCTCCTTTGTGCATTTAGGATGCAGTAATCTGTCACTGAACGAGCTGTCCAGTTCAGCAACAGCTTCATGCATGGGGTGGGAGACATTGTCCAGCAATGATGTTATTTTAGCTAGAGTCCTGTCTCCCACCACCTGCACTGGGTCGAGGGGGCATCCAAGCACAGACCTGGCCTTCTTGGTGAGTTTATCTAGCTGCTGCTTCTCGGCTGATGATAAGCTGCTGCTCCAACACACAACACCATAGAAGTTGGCTGATGCCACTACCGAGTCAAAGAAGGTCTTCAGGAGCACCCCCTGTACTCCAAAAGACCTCATTCTCCTCAGCAGGTAGAATCTGCTCTGACCCTTCCTGTAAAGTGCATCAGTGTTGTTAGACCAGTCCAGTTTATTGTTCAGGTGAACACCCAGGTACAAACTGGATTCCAAAAAAGTTGGGACACTAAAATTGTGAATAAAAACTGAATGCAATGATGTGGAGGTGCCAACATCTAATATTTTATTCAGAATAGAACACAAATCACAGATCAAAAGTTTAAACTGAGAGAATGTATCATTTTAAGGGAAAAATGTTTCCAAATTTCATGGCCTCAACAAATCCCCAAAAATCTAAAAAAGTTAAATCTGGTCCTCTGGACATTCAAAAAAACAAAACAAAGCAAATCAACAAAAAAATGTAGAAACGTTTCGTCTCTCATCCGAGAGACTTCCTCAGTGTGAGGAGCTGTATTCAGCTCAGTCTCTTAAATAGCACCGTCTCAGGGTGGATCAACCAGTTTTGCTGCTGACAACCAAAACCAGCTGATCACATGCTCAAGAAGGACCATCAGCATAACAATGGATCATTAGCACACTGATGGCTGTTTACTGTTCACAGAGGGAACTCTGTGAACAGTAAACAGCCAGCAGCTCATCTAACCAGCATGGCAGTCATCACGACGTTATTGCAGTGTGCCATGTTGTTCCAATAATAAACAAAAAACACTTTTTAAGTTTCCACAATTTTCCCAAGGACAAAGAAATACGTTCCCGTTGGGTGAGAGCGATCAGGAGAGATGAAGGGCCAACTTTTAAAATCCTTCGTGGGAGCACCCATGCAGTCTGCACTTTGCCCCAGAAGATCTAAATTCATCAGCCAGTTGAAGATCCTGGATCAGACGAGGAGCGGTGCCATCTAGATTTTGCTGGAATGATTGGGGTAAATGGAGGGAGGACAGTGCTGAACATTTTTAAAAATAAACAAATGTGTCATGACCATGAAGTGTCTGAGACGCTCACAAGCTTGTGAGTCAGTTTATCTGTGACCAAGAAAGTGTCTCGGTGCTGCTGGCCAGGATGACTCCCAGGAAATGCCAGACCCTGGAAACTGTACAGAGAAGGCATCGCCTGCAGGTGCAGTGGCAAAAGATCAACTCTGCCTGCCATCCTTCTCTGGATTATTATTGCAGAAAATGTCTTGTAGAAAAAATATATGGCAGTGAACAACACTGTAACCATCTTGTGGTTGTATTCAGAACATTTTGGACTTGCTAATGGTTGAGAGACTGTCAGTAAATACATGAAATGATTTGAATGAGGAGGAGCAGGTTTATACTTTATGGAAAATATATAATATTTTGTGTTTTCCCCTTTGAAAAAAATTACATATCTTCACCTCAGAACTGTCAAGGCAGTAACGAGTAAGTAATAGGAGAAATGCTGTAATACAAAAGATATTTGATAATTGAACAGGAAATTGATGGGTGGATAAGTGATGTCTATTAAGATTTATATTTTCTTTTCCCTTAGGTCAACTGGATGATGCCGCACAGGGAATTCAAGAGTTGCAGAGACAAGTTTTGCCTCTAGAAATGGAAAATCCAGCAGCTGACAATTAAGAAGTGCCCGTGTGTGTATATACATACACACACACATATATATATATATACATGTACATA